CTCGTGTTTGGTCGCTGTAGATATGAAGCTCATAGTTTTCTGGTTTACTTTTGCATGTCTGACTTGCTGTAGTGAATGTGCATTAACTTCTCCAACCTCTCCTCTTTCTGTTGCAGAGATAACTGACTTAGGTGAGTTCCTATAACTTGTTCTGGTCTTGCAAATGTCATCTCTTCTCTTTGTTCTTTTTTGTGTTTGTGTGGTTCGTCACTTTACATCTCGGGCGGTATCAATAAAGGGGTGGAATGTTGCATTCCTAAATCATTTCAGGCTGAGGTGTGCTTTGGGGTCCTTTCCATTCGTTTTGCATGTCTAGCTTAAACCACAAGCTCTTTGTCCAGCAGCGCTTCCCAGGTGAGCAATTGCTGGCTTCTGAAAGCCAGGGTTAAATTTTCTTTGTGAATTTAAGCCGATTGATACCTGCTGCTGAGGTTACAATGAGAAACAGAAGCTTTGACAGTTCCAGTTAAGCTGTGTGATGGTGCTTGCCCTCAAGCAGGGCCACCCGCAGCGCTCCTGGCTTGAGAGAGGTGCTGGGTACACCAGCTCCTGCTGATGCCACTGAACGTCCAGGCACTATGGTCGCTCCAAGCTGGGTCACCAAAGCCAGTTCCATTTAATTTGAAGTTGGCTTGATTCTCCAAATTGAATCTTCATTATTTATTTTTAGAAGTGTTGATTAACTCTTTGATTCTGATGTTGATTATTATTTATTTGTTCCCTTTTGATCAAAGAAGTGTAGTTTAAAACTGGAGTGCATAAAAACCCTGTTCTGTTTGTAACAGCGTTGAGTTCAGCAGCTGAGCTTAGCGCTGCTGGTCAGCTTCCCTGCTGGACACCAGCACCGTTGCACCGAGCCAGTCCTTCCTCCAGCCCTCACCAGCAGAATGGCAGATGGGCTGTGGAATTTCACTGGCTTTAGACCCCGCAGGAACACGTTCCCAAGTAGTCCCTGGATTTCCATACGGGCAGTTTACACTGGCAGCCAGTGCAAAATGAGCTGCAGCGTTTTACAGAGCCTGTGCCATTCAGGTCACCAAATGCTGCAGGCGTAGCTTCTGTCCTCCTCCTCTCCCAGCAGAAAAACAGCAGACTGCTCGACTCAGGTGTAGTTGTGACCCCTGCTGCTCTTACAGTTGACCAAGCCCTGAAAGGTACAAACTGGGGTAAAAAATCTGATTAAGAGCAGTTGGTCTGGAGGACTGTTGAAGAGATGTGATTCTGGCTGACTCTCACAATCTGTTCAGTGTTTACAGGAACAAATTTCTCTAAGCTTGTACCCAGCTGGAGGTACCAGTCAGCACGGGGGTTTTCCATGTCCTGCTGCTCTGTGTGCTGTCACAGGGGAAACACATGGTGCTGTAAAGACCAAGAAATGGACAGTGTTGTCGACAGTCTCCTCTGAGTGTGACATGGATATGGGAGTGTAAATCATAGCTGGGAATCACTTCAGAGAAACTAAGATAATTTCTATCCATACAAAGTACTTGCTTGGAGGTGTGGCTCAGAAAGTGGTACCGGGTGGCCATTAGCACAGGTCAAGGCTTGAAGAGCTCAGAAACTTTTCATGAGAGGTGCTTGCTGGTCAACCACGTGGAGCTGTAGAGAGCTCCAGTGGGAGGTGAGCAAGCACCACGGTGAGACCTGCAGACCTTCCTAATGCCCTGTGTTTTCTTTAGCTGGCCAGTTATCCACAGACGACTTAAATTCTCTCATCGCACACGCCCACCGTCGCATCGACCAGTTAAACCGGGAGCTGGCGGAGCAGCGGGTGCGGGAGCAGCAGCACATCGAGACGGCCCTGGCCAAGCAGAAACTTGAAGATAAAAAAGCGTTCGAGGCAGCCGTGGCCAAAGCACTGGAGCATCACAAAAGTGAGATTGAACTAGAACAGGAGAAGAAGGTAAGGTGGTGTAACACACCTGCTTCAACCTCTGGCTCGAAAAAGATGTAGAGAAGGTGCACAGAAGAGCAACTGGGGTGTTCTGAGTGGTGGGAGACTTCAGACAGGGTGACCCCCAGGCTAAGCGTGTTGAGCAAGGAAACTTCTGCAAAGTTAGAATGGTAAAATCATACAGCGAAACAGGGAACAACTTTTTCACGTTACCCCTCTGCTGTCAGAGATGGGATTGCTGGGTCAAAAGAAATGTTTGCTCTGACCCAGTATGGCCATCGTAAGGCTATGTAGTCCCTCTGTCCTGCCTCTAGCAGGTATCTCCATGCTCTTCCACTCTTTGCCAGTGGTTTGGGATTTGATTTCTTTCAAAAGAACTATGAAACCCAGAATTTTAATGCTGCTTTAGACATGAAGCAAATGCAACTGAGAAATGTAGGAATTTGGGTACTGGCAGTTTTATCTTTTGAGGAGATACCATATTGCAGGCACTTGTGCCAAGTACTCCTGCTGTTTTTGCATACGTGCCGCTGAAAATGAAATTAAACACTGGCCGTTAGTTGAAAAATTTGCATTGACATGAGGGAACAAAAGATTTCATTTATAACCTGTTAGTTCAAAGCGCTGCAGTAACTGATATAAATTTAGAGCTCTTTTTACAAGTTGCTTGAACTCCCATCTTTGCATTTAATGAAAGGTTAGAAATACAGAAATACTTTTTTTTTTTTTTTTTTTTTTTTAACAAAAAGGGCCCAAAACCCAAAAAACTGTTGAACTGCTTCTCTATAAACCCACACCGTGCCCCCTTGTGCTAGCCTGTGTTCTCCCAAGTGGCTGTTTTACACAAGATCAGGTAAAAGGGGTATTACCATTTTTTTTAAGCCGTGTCCAACTCTGACACTGTTACAGCATGTATGGAAAAGATAAAGTACTTTTTGTTTAGAAGCTGGTTTACAAACATTAGAGTGTTTAGTTTACACATTGCTGTATCTTTTATGTAAGTATTTTGATAACTGCACTGAGTGCCTGGTGAGTGTGACCACCGGTCACTGGCACTGTGGACTGTGAAGCTTTTCTTGCAAGCCTTTAGGAAGAGGCTCAGGTATAAAAACAGACCTGGACACTGTTTTTTAAAAATGAAAAATGGGCTCTATCAATGCCACTTCTATAAAATGTACCCTGGGTAATCACTGGTGGATGGTACCATCGTAGCATGTGACAAGCAGTTGAGAACTAGTGGTGTAATAACAACCCCTGGTGTGTGTACAGGTTGAAGAAGTCCGAGAGGTGATGGAGAGCGAAATGAGGACCCAGTTGCGACGCCAGGCTGCTGCCCACACAGACCATCTGAGGGACGTTCTGAAGATCCAGGAGCAGGAACTAAAGGTGGAATTTGAGCAGGTAAGGGAGAAAATTCCCCAAGGGAATTAGGAGGATATATGAATGAACCCTTGCAAAAGCAAATGCTTCACAGGACAAGAGTTGTGAACCATCTTCCAGAAGACTGAAATGCAGGTTGGGGAGGAAAGCCTGTCTGTCTTGAAGACAGGAAATAAAGTGCCTGAAAGCATAGGTTTTATTCAGACTTGTCTTAAAAACTTTTACTGTAAGTGAGAAATTTTTGACAGTTGCAAGGGCAGTAACTGTTAAATTCACCCTAATAAGGTGAAAATACTAGGACATAAGGCTTAGTACCAGTATATTGTATTTACTGCATGTATTGTCCCTAGCAAGAACAACTGATTTATAGAAACAGATCTTAAAAATAAGTTAAATATAATTTATCAGACCTGAAACAGCTGTTTTGTCTCTCACTCCGTTTCAGAACTTATCGGAGAAGCTCAGTGAACAAGAGATGCAGTTCAGACGCCTGACTCAGGAACAGCTCGACAACTTCACGCTGGACATAAACACTGCCTTCGCCAGGCTGAAAGGCATCGAGCAAGCAGTTGAGAGTGAGCACAGAAACCTCATCTCTTTAAGGGCTAAAGCTGGGATCCCCTGAGGCCCGTTACCCAACCCTAGGTGCTTAAGCACAGGCTTAGGCACGTTTTGCCCCACTGCTGAGCACCCAGCCAATCCCAGCTGCATGAGTCCCAAACTGGGGTCATGTCCTCACCATAACTTGTGGAACAGACTTGCTTTGAGATCAAGTGCCGAGGGGGCAGCTGCATTTGAAAGCAGCGTTCAGGGGGGCGGGTTCTGCTGCTTGTGCTCAAAACTCTTCCCAGATGGGTACCCCCAGCTGACAGTCCCTTTCTTGCCTTATTTTGCAGGTCACGCAGTAGCAGAAGAGGAAGCCAGGAAGGCCCATCAGCTGTGGCTTTCTGTTGAAGCACTCAAATACTGCATGAAGACCGCCTCTGGGGATAGTCCCACACAACCTCTGGAGAGCGCGGTGAAGGCCATCAAAGCCAGCTGTTCTGACAACGCCTTTACGGAAACCCTCACGGCAGCTCTCCCTCAGGAATCCCTGACACGGGGAGTCTACAGCGAGGAGGCCCTCAGAGCACGTTTCTACACAGTCCAAAAACTGGCCAAAAGAGTAGCTATGATTGATGAAACAAGAAACAGCTTGTACCAATACTTCCTGTCTTACCTGCAGTCACTGCTTCTGTTTCACCCCCAGCAGCTGAAGCCACCTGCCGAGCTCAGCCCTGACGACCTCGACACCTTTAAGTTACTGTCTTACGCCTCCTATTGCATTGAACACGGAGACCTGGAGCTGGCAGCTAAATTTGTCAACCAGTTAAGAGGAGAGTCGAGGAGAGTGGCACACGACTGGCTGAACGAAGCTCGCATGACCCTAGAAACAAAACAGATTGTGGATATCTTGACAGCGTACGCCAGTGCTGTGGGGTTGGGAACAACCCAAGTGCAGTGAGGTAGGATTGTAGTTTCGGAGGCCGTTCAGCAATCCTTTGTGCCGGAAAAGAAATCCCATGATTCTCCTAAAGGTTGCAAACCAAGCTGTTGGCAGGGGCTGGAAGCGTTAAATCAAAGCACGGGTACGGTCTTGTTTCCTTGCACTGTATTTAACTTCACCAACCTGTTGTATTTGTATCGGGTTTGAGTTATCATGACAACCAACTTCAGGAAGCTTCTCTACAATTTGTGTAACAATTTTATTTCCCCATCTTACCAAGCGGGCTTGTGATCCAACCCAAATAATGTTTGTAACCTACCATTAATGATTTGCCACTCTGTCAGCTGAATAAAACAAGACTTCAACCACTTTCTCCTGCTGTTGTCTCCTATTTAAAAATCAAATACAGCTGGGTAGTACAAGAACAGCCTTTCTCCATGACCATGAAGAAGTTAAAACTTATTTCTGTTTCAGTCCTTTCAAGGAGCAAGAATTCATTGATGTGATCAATATGTCTATTCATTAATTTGTACAGCTGTAAAAAAATAAAAAAATCCATGTATGAGTACAGGTTTATGTAGACATCACTTAAGCTGGTGTCAGAGCACCTATTCTGGTGGATTTCTGCCCCTGTATGTTTCTTATCAGACCTGCTCTTCTGTAGTTTTAGAAGACACCAGGTGTTTCTGTCTAGAAGCCAGACTTCTGTTCAACCACAAAAATTCACATAAAGACCAAGCTCCTTCCTTCTCTTACCTTTCCCTTAATTCTTATCATCAGTGAAGAAAGGTTGATCAAACTTACTCAGTACTCACTCGCTGCAACGAGTAACTGTGGCTTTGCCTGCTTGCTGATCCAGTTTGAATTGCTGGTACAGTAAAGCAAAGAGCTTAACACCACCCTGAAAGTCCTTTATCCTTGATCTACCCCTTAACCTGTCCCAGTCACACACTGCTGGAACAGGTGTGTTTGCTTTCTGGAGCAAACCTTGCCTTCAAACAGCGTTACTGCCCACCGGCTCCTGCCTTTCAGCTGTAGTTTGTTCTATCTCCAGTAGCCGTTATTTCCCAAACTCATTACGGAATTACCCTTAAGCTATTTTCCTCAGGGGTGTGCTCTTATTTGGCCTGTAATCATCATGCACATCAAGGTTTTCTTTTTCACCAAGGAATTGGAAAATGGTTAAATCCTCTCAGGAACAAGACCATTCTTTGCCTATTGAAGACAGCTATCTCAAAACCACCTTCAAGCTTCATGGTGCTGCTGAGTTTGTGCCCATTACCCTTGTCCTGGGCACCACTGAAAAAAGACCGGCCCCATCCTCTTGCCCCCCACCCTGTAAGTATTTACAGGCATTGATCAGATTCCCCCTCAGCCTTCTCCAGACTAAAAAGACTCAAGTCCCTCAGCCTTTCCTAATAAGATGTTCTCGTCCCCTCATAATCTTTGTAGCCCTTTGCTGTACCCTCTCCAGCAGTTCCCTGTCCTTCTTGAACTGAGAAGCCCAGAACTGGACACTGCCCCAGATGGGACCTCACCATCCATCCTCCCAGCCACCTCGTTAGTTTTATTGCTGTATTCTGCATGAACTTAGCTCATTCTCTCCAGGACAGCTGCAACACTTATGTCATCAAAAGTTTTTGCTCAGGGATTATCAGAATGCAGCTGTATTTAATGTCAGCCATTTATTAGATGCAGTCTCCAGCTGTACAAATTATAGCTTTTTAACATCTTCAGTCCAAAGCATGTCCCAAAACACCAAAAAAGGATGAGGTGATGAGTATTGCATTACTTACTGTGTTTACATTCAGAGTAAACTGGATATTTAAAGTAGTTCATTCAAGTGAGCTGGAAAGGAATTAAATCTGGTGCAGGTTGAAGTCACAGGAGGTCCCAGAGAAGCCTTGCTCAAGCTGTCAAGGTGTTGTACCTGCCGAGGTGTCCCCAGGAAGCTGCACTGCTCTCACCGCAACCCTCCAGGACCTCAGCCAAGCTGCTGAAGCAGGTGGCAGCTGCCCAGCAGGAGCAAGCTCCTCCAGGTATTGGCGTGGAAGAGACTGTTGGTGTAGCCCATGCTGTGCTTGAAGTTACCAAGAACAGTGTTCAACAGGAGAGCTTCTAGCTTGCTCCAACGAGGACAATGTACAAGCAGGTCCTGTGTCAGAATGCCCTGGAGTGCTCACCTCCCAGAAGCCATCCCTCCAGTGATTTCACTTCTCACAGAAGCCTCCTGGCATCAAGGAGTGGTTGCCCCCAGTTTTCTTAAGGGGAAGGCAAGTGGGACAGCTACTCATGGTCACTATCGCTGTCACTATCGCTGCTGTCGCTGTCTGACTTGATACTCTCCAAGGTTTTCCTGCAGATAGAAAACAGTCCAGTAATCAGTCACCTGATTGTGGCTTTTGCTTGGAAAGAGATAACCAAAACACAGGGTAAACCCTGTCCAGAGAGAATTATGGGCTGTCTGATGCCTATTATGCTCAAAGAACAGGTCCACCCAGCATTTGGTAGAAGCACACCCAATACCCCTTCAGCAGTAACATGAAATTCTCCAACTTACTTCTGCTTTTCAGAGAGTTCAAATTCCTTCTCTGTTCTGCTCTTAAGCCTCTGAGATGAAGGAAGACCAAGGGACGCTGCCAGCTTCACCAGCTTAATCGCCTCCTCTGGGCTATTGGTTTGTTTAGCACAGGTCAAGAACTCGTCCATCACCTGGTCACTGCAAAAGCAAAGGCAAAGACTCTTTATGGGACCCCAGGTGAGGTGGCCATTGACTTAGAGCAGGTGCTTTAGAGAGGGAGAGGAGGTGACGAGATTTTCAGATACCTCAACCAGCCCTATTCTGCTCCTGCCAGGAATTTCACCTCAGCCTTCATCCCATACCAATTGGGAACTTCCCCAAAAAATCCTGTGAAAAGCTAACTGTTGTAGCCTAACAGGGTACCACATAAGATTTACGATTTGACTTGTCTTCAGAAAGTCAGACAACTCTGGAGCTTGGTTAATAGCAGATTAGATTTTTTTTGAGGACATGGGAAATGACATGTTTTCATGAGTCCTGCTTAGACTGATTTCTAATGCCAAGTTAATCAGTGGCACCTTTTTTAATGTCCCAGAGCTTCACTCAGTGACATCTCAAGGATCAACCACTTAACCCCCCCTCTTTTCATTTTCCATCATTTTTTGAGACAGAAAGACCTTGGAATATATCAGTTGGATAAAGAAACACCCGCGCTCACAGGGACAGACACACACACTTGTGCTTCGGAAGTTACAGTAAGATATGGACAACTATTGCCTATTATAACAGAAATGCAAAATTTCAGCCAAAGGGGAGACTCAGTACCTGAAGTTAGAACCTAAAAATACTCACGTGGGAATCCTATTCATTTGCTGGAAACGCTCCATCATGGTCCTGTTCAAAAGAAAACAAAAAAAAACCCCTCAAAACCATACACAACAGGAACAGACAGATATTAAATCTCTTTGATAAGGCCCTGCTCAAACAAAGGCAGACTCAATTTCATTAAATGATCTTTCCCACAGATCTGAAACAGATCCCATGACATATTCTTGCAGATGCACTGTGTACCAGCTAACATAATTGATTAATTTAACACAGATTATCTTAACTAATGCAGAAAAAAAAATAGGAAGTGTAGCTGCTGGCAAATTTACTTTAAGAGCATTACATATTTTTAGAAGGGCACTTGCCACTTCTTTGTTTCACATGAATCTGTGCAAAGAGAACATCTGTATTTAAAAGAAAATAGCTTAGAACCTTAAATTGAAGTCTAGATATTTTAACCAGTATTTCAAGTTGAGAGCATGTAGGACAGTAAATTCTAACTTCTAAAGAGTACTAAAAATATTCTCTTTTGATTTTTAATTAGGGTTAATTCTAATTAAAAGTTTAATTAAACTCTAATTGATTGCTTTAGCAGTTTGGATTCCAAAGAGTTCTAACAATTAGAAAATGGGAAGCTGTAGGAAATCAGCAGTTCTTAGTGATGTGATAATCAAACCCTACCTTGCCAGAAGCAGCATATGACGCTCTAAACCAGTTGCTACATTAACTTCTAAACCATTTTTAAGATAAACAACTGTAACTTGGTGCCAAGAATGAACAATAAAATTAAGGAAAAATTAAGGAAAAAACCCATTACATTCCCAGCAGGACTTATCCCCTCCCTTTGCAATGGCGTTCCGAGGTAGTTGGTCATTAGTTTTTGATTTTTGTGACTAAGCCTTGAGTTAGTATCAACAAGCCCAGAGTTCAGGACAACCACACACGTACCAAGCGTCCTGGGTTCTCCCAACCCTTGAAAACAAAAGAGCGACGTGGCCCAGCATGCTTCCTGTCCAGTCTAATGAGGCCTGCTCCCTCCCAGTCTGCTCTTGGAAAGCTTTGATGTCTTCAGCACACTTGGCAAACGCCTGTTGAATCTGTGAAAAGATCGTGCTATTAATCCCAAACCCTCTAGAATTAACATATCCTTTTCAGTGCAATTCCTCCTACAAATCTGACAGGTCTTCCCCATATGTGATTTAAATGTCACTGAGCTTCTCTGTACTGGTTTTGGCTGGGATAGAGTTACATTTCGTCACAGTAGCTTTTACAGGGGTATGTTTTGGATTTGCGATGAAAAGTAACAGGGATGCTGTAGTTATTGCTGAGCAGCACTTGCTTACACAGTATCAAGGCCTCTTTTGCTCCTCACACCACCCCACCAGTGAGTGGGTGCACAAGAAGCTGGGAGGGGACAGAGCTGGGACACCTGATCCCAACCGACCAGAGGGATATTCCATACCATATGGCATCACACAATAAAAGCTGGGGGAAGAAAAAGGAGGGGACATTTGGAGTGATGGCGTTTGTCTTCCCAAGTAAGCGTAACAGGTGATGGAGCCCTGCTTTCCTGGAGATGGCTGAACACCTGCCTGCTGATGGGAAGCAGCAAATTAATTCCTGATTTTGCTTTGCTTGTACGTGTGGCTTTTGCTTTACCCGTTAAACTGTCTTTACTTCAGCCCATGAGGTTTTGCACGTTTACTGTTTGTTGCCATTCTCCCCACCACCCCACTGGGGAGGAGCAAGCGGCTGGGTGGTGCTTAGCTGCTTTGTGGGGTCAAACCACCACAGCTTCCTACCTCCTCAGGGTGCCGCTCCCTGCTCATCAAAGACAAGAGCTCTTCCAACAGGTCATGTCTCCTGCCAAACCCCATCTGTTTCATATCTGTTCAGAGAAAGGCAGTAGTTAGTAGGTGTGACCGCTACCCCCTGCCCCCAGCCCCTGCTCATAACAGTCAGCATAACTAACCCCATTTTATAAGGCCAACAGCTATTCTGGGTGACTGAGCTGGTCACATAGTAGTTCCCTTTCCCCTAATTATCAGGCCCTGAAAGTCCTGCGCACCAAGTAGATGAACCAAACAGCTTTATTCTTCCCCTCCCTGGCGGCCTCTTGGTGCCAGGCCGACTACTCCCTTCCTCAATGGCCTTCAAGGTCCCAGGCACCCAGCCAACCCGGTGGTGGTGATGACCCCATAAGAGAACATGAAAGGTAAGAGCACGCAGAGCACTGTCTATAAAACCAAGCAGTTGCAAGTTCTAAGTGGGAATCTGGACCCAAACTGCTGCTGGACAGGGAGACCCATGACACCCCGGTGGCCAGGGACACCTCCACCATTGTCTGCTTCCTCCAAGGAATGAGCACTGACTTGTACTCTTTTATATGTTTCTCGAGGCTAGATTATAAGTTTTATGTTCATACAGAAAACCCAGTATAAAGATTTGACCTGATCTGCAGAGGCTCCAGGTAATAAGAAGCCATAAGCTAAGTAGTACTATAAATTTCTGCACTACACTACTTATAAAATTGTACTACAGTGATTCTGCTTATAGAAATCCTCTGCTATTCTGATTATAAATTCTATGCTAATCATAAAATCCGGTGAAGAAAATAAAGCTTTAATTGTAACTACAACTTAGCGCTGCCATCATTCTGCCAAGGATCCCTTAAAGAACCTGTCTGTCCCCTCAAGTGTTGGGTAACAGTTACATATTTGCTGCGTGCTAAATCCTATACCTGCATTGTCTCTTCTTCTGAAGGGGCAAAGAACAGGCAAATAATTTAATTGACTTAAACGTTTAAGGTGCTACCCTCTGGTAAGCATTCACTTTTCCAAGACACTGACATGTACCTGTGACACTGTCACGTCTCTCTGATAGTCTGTGCTATGGGTTCTGCCTTTCTCCAATATGAAGCCCCATCACCACCCTAGGGAACAGCTCCCCTCATGCCCAAGCTCCTTACCGTGGCTATTCTGAACACTGGGAAATTTCCCAACTACCTCCCGCTTTGCACTTCTCCTGGCTTTTATCAAACAAACTGCCTGCGTAGCCTTGTGGCTATCACTAACCTTCCCAGACTGAAGGGACCACTTCCAAGTGGTTGGCTGCATCCAGTGCTTGGAGGAGGTCCAATATATTTCTGGGAGTTGGATAGAAGACCTGAAGAAGGAAGCGAATCACTTTAGTGAACTGTAACTGTTCTGTTTCTCCACAGTAAAGCTTTGAAGCTTGCTTACCCTAATACACACTTACCGACAGGGACATTTCTTTGTACCATTTCAACACAACATCAATTTGTTCCATCATACACAACAATGAAAAGAATTTTGACCTACAGGGGGGAAAAATGTGCTAATTCAGTAACAACTAGATCAACTAAACCACAGAGAAGCATCAGGAAATGATAGTGTTCCGATCAGATTTGTACTGCAGATCATGGAAATTTCACTATAGGATTGCAATACTCCATACAATTGAAAAAGCAGTAGCGTTTTTTATGAGAGAACTTAATGCTGACACCAGGTAATTGGCAGAATTACTAAGAAGCAGACCACTACATTTTAAAATGCCAGATTCAAGGTATCTGAATCTCTCTCAAACGCAACCTCTGGTTAAGAGCCACTTTAAGAGAGTGAACTAAATTAACCTCGCTACTTGTGCAAGTTCACAATACCAGCCTGGGGCCATGATCCAATGCACTGACTACAAAAAATGTCCCTACACCAAGAAATTAATTTCCATTGATTTCCTTTCATTTATTTAGAGGCTAAATAAGGTAAAATCATTTGAATCATCCCACCCCTGAAACTGCATCTTATTTTGATGGTAATTATTTTTCATGAATTTACAGAAGCATCTCTAGCATCTAATGCCTAAATAGGCTTTTCTTCAAATCATATACTCCAAATACTTAATTACATTCAGTGACTGCAGCACTTAATGACACTGGTAAGTATGTTTTGGACGCCATGATTAGTGTCAAATGGTGAACCTACATGGGAGTTTCAATCCTAAATACACTTGCTGCTCTGCAGCCTCTCTCTCCAACACCACGCAGAGAGTTGGGTCTGACCTGTACACTGTTTTGGTGTTACCTCCTAAGCTGCCATCCTAAGCTGACAACAGAATTGTAGAAAATACCACTGGTTGGTGCAGTTGTTGGATGGGTATTAAGCCAAACTGATGCTCCAAGACACTTTATTTCAGCTTGGGCAAGGCCACATACTGAAAATAAATACTAAACTATTACGGTTCTTAAGAGGGACCTAATTTGCAAACTGCACATACAATAACCAGCTGGTGTTCAACAAAGCATCCTCCTGCGCGATGTCTGCATCGTGGTTTGTATCCAAATTGGCAGCAATAACCAGGACACTGGATGCCAGCTGCGCTTCACTCACCAGTAGGCATTTAACCGATCCATGTCCAAGAATTTCCAGTTGTCTCCTTTCTCCATTGCCTTATTCAACCGATAAGCGAGCTTGATATCCTTAAGATCACAGCACTGCAATAAACCAGTCAGATTTTAAAGCTACCACATGTAACACTTAGCACATCCCTCTGAGACTCACTTTCACACAGGTATGAGGAGTAACGAGCAGAGAGCAAACATTTTTAAGAAGATGCAATTCAGTGTAGTCAATGTAGGCATTTGGTTTAGATGAGACAAATGAGTGACTCTCCTGATCAGTGAGAACCTTCTAAACCTAAACCAACACCTTCTGGTGCAGAGACCATCTAACCACCATGGTGTCACTAGAAGCAAGGGCAGGGCACAGAAGACAGGGACTTAGCAGCTGTCTCTAGCAAGGGATGTACGTATCACAGGCACACAAGTTACTGATTTAGAAGGCATCAAGCAAAGAATTGCAGAATTACGGAGGAAAGTTACAGGAGGTGATGAAAACAAGTGGAAAAGGGAAAGATCTTGAGAGCTAAACCTTGTATGAAAGGTTAGAAAACTCACAGGTAATTCCTAAACAGCTGGAGGGCTCAAAGTAATTCTGATTGCAGGGAAAAGGTACTTACCACTTGCATAGCGGTGGCAAAAAAGTTGGCTGAAAGAAAATAGAGTGTATTAGCTTCAAACATCTATATACACATCTTGCTTAGACAAAGTGACCTAGTCTTACGTGAGCGACTTCTTTCTCTCTTTTTTAATCCACTGTCTAGGAAAGCCCATTCAACTCCCATGACTCAGGCAAGGCCTGTATCTGTGTGCCCATCATTACTGCCTTTGCTAACAGTGGTATTTCTATAAAGCGTGTGAAGGAGCAGGGCAGATACAGTCACTGTCCACACTTTTGGCAGCAGCTTAGAGCCAGAGCAAGAAAGGGTATAACACACACAGCAGGGCAGAAGGAAACAGAAGGGGTATACAACATTCTTACTATTTCCAGGCTTCTTTCCAAGGACAAAAAAAATTGCAGGTAGGATAACCCAATATTCTACTCCAACATAGTCTCACAATTATCTTTTTCCTTTAAATGGCCAAAAACCCATATCAACTCCTCACTGGTTTCCTGAAGCATGCATTGTAACAGTTTGTGTTGTTTTGTTTGGGTTTTTTGGTTTGTTTGGTGGGGGTTTTTTTGTGGTTGGACTCAATGATCTCAAAGGTCCCTTCCAACCATGAAGATTCTGTGATTCTGTGAAATTCCCTAGGTACCTTTCCACCCAAGCTTAAACCATGCAGATTGTCAGATATATTAAAAGTTCATACCATCATCAGGGTCCTGGGGAGTGAAACTCCTCTTCTGAACTTCATCTAGTATTTCAAGGATGATGCCTGGTGAGGAAAGATCAACTGCAGGACAAACAGACAAGCACCATCACAACTCAGTCATACCATGTGCTTCATTAGTAAAAAGTGTCAGCCTGCAAATACACTACAGAAACAGAAACAAGCCCCACAATTTCAATCAAGCATCAAGATTCTCCTGTCTCCACCCCTAATCGTGGTGCTCCACACCAGCTACAATATTATTTGCACTAAAATTTTCCCTACTACTGCCAGATTTCCACAGCACAACAGGGCAGGTTAAGAAAGCCACAAGTCCTTTGTAGCAAGGAATCCAACAGGCCTGCCAGTTTGTCTGTTAGAATGTGACACTGAGAAAAGCAATGCATTTCATAAACACAAAAAAACCCAGACTCCAGAGCAGTTCCTCCACATTTGTTACAACACAAGGACTGCAGTTACTACTACTGCGTCTATTCCCTTTCCATGTCCACAGATTTTTGGCTAAAGGATCTCAACAGTTGGGCTCCTGCCTTCTAACACAGCTATATTTCAAGATAGCTCCAATGTACGGAACCGTTGCAGAAAAACAGAATCCCTGTGCAATTTCTTCCCCATGAGTGGCACAGTCTGTGTGATCACAGGTGCCGTAGTCAGATCCAGCCTCCAGAGAGTATGAGGAGCATTTGCTTTTTATCTTGATCAGCTTGTGGCCACACAAGCAAGGGGCTTTCTTTCCAGTTCTGTCAGTTCTCAAAACACAAGGACTCCTCCCTCCCTCTAAAAGGTTATGATTCTCTGTAGCCTTTTTTTCCACCCAAGCAGAATCAGACTGCACAGGTAACACTGACACATTAGAAGTTGTCTTTTAATCCATAAATCAACCGTATTCACCCATTACATTTGGAAAGCATTTAAAGTACATTTAAAAAGGAGAAGTTGATATTGCACGTACCGCCTCTATAAAATATGAAGAGAAGATGATCATACGTTGCAAGGCTTGGCTCTGAAAAGCAAAAACACTGACGTTACTTCAACAGTCTTGGATGAGCTTCATGCTTGAGCTCTAATTCACAGTCTCCATCCCTCCCAGTGAGGCAGCCTGCATAAATGTGCTCAGTTCTCTCCTCGTTCCACCCAGATGCTGGACCAGATGCACGTTACAACTGGGAGAGGTGGTATCTGAGGGTGAACCACCAGCTGAAGCATCACATTGCTATGGGGCAAGCAGTCAAGCTTCCCTGGTCTAAATGAAAAAAATAAATTTCATAGGTAGTTTCCCTTCTCCCCATGAACCAATCTTTAGCGTATCAACAAGCATGTTACTGGGGCAAAGCACACTCCACAAGACATGGAATCGGTTGTGCAGTTATTCCCTGTTTTTGCAATGTTTATTTGACATCAAAAACCATAATCTACATCAAAAGCTTTTTTTTTTTTCTGGCAGAGATGTAGATATATAGACCTGAACTGGCTTGGGTGGCTGGTGAAGGAAATCTCCTTGATCTATGGGAAGCTAACAGACTCAGCTGACTGCTACAAATATATATTTATATTATTCACTATTTCTACAGCAGTACCACAATAAGGACCCAGTTGAGAAAGAGCCTCTGCACCAGGACACACCCCCCCACTGCATCCACGCACCTGTCTTTGAGTAGCTAGAGGTAACTACAGGTAAAAATGTTAATGATAAACATGCTCCTAACCTAAAAGACTACAGCATCAAAATGCTTCACTATTTGACATCATGGACTAAATGCACCCACTATATTATAACTAGTAATCAACACTGAAAAAAGACTTTAAAGATGATGATTCAATTTGAAATCCACAGACACTGGCTCACTGTGCAGCCACAGCTCAGTACTTAAGCATTTTTATTTCTCAGTTCTCTTGCAAAAGAACACAAATCGTGAAGTTGAGAACAGAGTGAGAAATGCTTTTTTTTCTACAAGCCTTGGACTTCTTCCCTGCAACTAGAAATCCCTGTGTTGTTTACTGCTCAAGTTAGCCATTCTGGAGGTGGCACTGAAATACAGTAACTATTCTGGTTCTCTTACCTATACCAAGTGCTTCCATTTCCTTTACTACCGGTAAAGCCATACTTCTGCCGACACCACCACATTTTCTCATAGTCTTCAGTAAAGCATTGAAAGTCAGCAGATTTGGTTGCACTTCCTGCTGAGCCATGTGATTCAGGAAGACCTTAAACAAAATCCCCATCACACGTTACGGATCACAGTTCAGCTTTCAGTTGGGTGTACATGCATTTCCTTAATCTAATCCTTCTCACTCCCTTCAAGTGAATGACTCTACCTCAAATGATAATTTATTAAGAGAGTACCATCTAATTTTTAATTAATTTGAGCAAAAAAACCCCAAGACTACAAAATTATATCCGTTCAGATGTTGAAAAATTGTGTCTAGAATGTCAAGGGAATTTAATTTATGTACTAATTTTCTTTACTGATGTTATGTCATTAAAACAGAAGCCATTAATGTTACCCCTCAAAATTCCATTTCCATCACACCACTATGAATCATAATTCAGAGAAGAGTTTTTATCAACAATTGTTTGCTTTTATCTCCCAGCACAACTTCCCAATTACTTTCTGTCTGGGCAATTCTTGGATCAGGTACATTATCACAAATCAAACCATTCTGCAAGGGCAAGGTTGGAGTTTGTACAGTTCCCACTCCTAAACAACTAGTTTGTATGTTTAAACTAGTGTGCTTCCTTTGCAGCAGGTATTAGTATCTTTGTAGAAAGCTCTTGGTTTTAGTCTTCTAATAACTGCAAAATTCTACTGATAAAGCAGATCCAGTCCCAACACTCTTACCCCTTCCCCACCTCTTCTGCTCAAACTTCTTACCTTGGCTAACTCCCATCTCTCTAAGAACCTTTCCTTCAGATACGGGACTGCTGTAATCAGTGCATTGAAGGTGTCCACATCAGCTGGAAAATGTAAGATAAATCATTTTAATTGACAATTATCACAGAATCATAGAATGGTTTAGGTTGAAAGGGACTTTAAAGACAATCTAGTTCCCAACCCCCTGCCAGGGGCAGGGACATGTTCCACTATACCAGGCTGCTCAAAGCCCCATCCAGCCTGGCCTTGAACACTTCCAGGGATGGGAATTTTTATATTCTACAGAAACCAGTTTGTTCTAATATGGCTCAGTTTTTGGCGAAGTCTCATGCAAACCTGTTTCCAGTGAGCCTGCCACATGCCAGCTGCACCGAAACAAGAAGTCTGCATTCAGCTCCCATGATCTAGCTGAGGTCCGTACCCCTGCGCCAATCATCATCGCCATGAAACAAATATCCACGTACCCAGCAACTACCTTCTGCTACTTAGAAGACCACAGGTCAAACACTTACCCTTGTGTCTTTCATTCAGGAGGTCCATGTACATGTCATAAGCTTTAGCAGAAGCCCCATGCTGCAGAAAAAAAAACACAACAAAAACCAAAAATAAGCAACTTCTTTGACCGTGTGAGATTTCACAAGCTGAAAAAAGTCCTCCCAGTACTGAAGGGTAACTTTACCTTGACCATCCCACGGATCATTGTGCAATAGGAGTGTGCATTCCTCTCTGACATTATCTTAAATATCCTTTCAGCGTTGTTGTTCTCCCTAGAATCAAAAAATAAGCTGAATGTTAAAAGAACTCCCATAAAAGATACCTTTAGGAAAAGGATTCAACACACAGAACAAAATAATGGGCTGTACTCCCAAGGGCTGACATTCAGTTATACTACTTGTGATACTTTGATCTATTCTACAATCACATACTAGATTTCTATCAACACTTTTAAAGATTAGCAAACACAGACGTATTTAACAAGTAACATTTGCAAGCACAGGCTGCTAAGAAGTCTTTAAGTCTGTTTTATCATACTGCATGTGCACAACCCACTGAATACAGGAATATTGACAAGATTTTCCATACCTCCATCTAGGGCCAGATGACTGTGAACCTCTTTGGAATTGTCTCTTTGGAGCCTTCTGCTCTGAAGCGTTCACCTGGAGAGATTTTTACAGAAATAAGTTTCTCACAGTTAATTATGGTTACACATCAAATGACATGATCTGGTAAAAATACAGAAGTTCAGCAACAATTTTTACGCTAGCAAAGGTGGTTTTTAATGGGTTATATTAAAATAATTTTTATTACAAGTTCAGGAAGCAATAACTAGACTAAGAATACTGTTTAAATAATTAAACATTTTAACAAGGCAAATTATAAGTATTTGTGGAGCTGGTGGGAATCATTAGACTACAGCACATAATCTGTAGAAGCCTTTCTCCCTCAAGAGTCTTCCCAGAGACAGGTATTGTGCAACACATCTATTACTGTACCCTGCAGCCTGGTACTCTGAGGTCACACAAGGAGCCCTCAACTTCATTGAAACCTAATTAATAACCTAAATAATTAACCTCTACACTAGAGGTACTGAAAGTCTTCTTTGCCAGCAACCATAAAAACAAGGCTGACAGTGAGAAACAGTTATTTAAACACAGTTCAGAGCTAAGCCAAGGCAGGGTTCCAGCTGCCAAGTTCACCTTTACGGAAACTACTTTTGCTCGTAGGTTGGACACAGGATTGGTGTAACTACTGTATCTCTAGAGAACGCTGACTACCTTTGACCCACCTCACACCACCTCCCAGGCACCTAGTCACGAAAATCTTGACATCACCTTGATACACTTCCACTACGTATGAAAGAAATAAACAAACAGAGATAATCAGGATTTTCATACCCCTGGTTCTTCCAAATCCTCTTTTTGTTCTTCCTCTTTTTCTGGAGTAGATTCTCCACCTCCATAGAAGCATAACAAATCTAAAAGGCTGTTTGTGGTCTCCAGAGATACAGGAGTACCTATAGAAAATGAGGGTACACAACAGTCATATGGAAAGTAAAGAACACACCATTCTACAACCGTATCTGAAAACCTTTGAATACCCAGTTACACCACTTTGTTCTTTTTCAACACAAAGGCGCTCTCTCGCAAGTCTGTAAAACCTGAGTGTGACAACCCATTCATAGCAGGAGACAGTTTTAACATCAAACTAGAGTATCTGTTTTTCTACTGAAGCCACTGAACGGGTAGATTTTTCTGACCAAGTGGGAGAGGTAAGTGGCAGCTGGCAGCCCAAACTGTGAAGCAGGACAAGCCCAACACAACACCTGAAATTTCTAGTGCTTTCTGTATCCACTCCTAGAATAAACTCTCCTGCAAAGATGACTTCGTGTGTTCCACTTTCTATGAAACACATTTAAAACCAACAAAAGAAAAGAGCTGTTTGATGGAATAATCTCCATTCCATCTGGCAGCAGAAATGAGAAGGTCTCACCTTCCCGTTAAGTTTTCCTCCTTCAGAGGCTGTGGCAGTTACAGTTTTTTGTTGCTTCCTCCTCGTTCAGCCACAACAGAGATAAGGTCCAATTTAAGGAGGAACTGAGAAAGACTCATTTATTGAAGGCAGGTGCACAGAAGGGGCATTCAGCTGGAATGCTACACCAGTCCAACACAGCGGCAAAGTGCTCAGCACAGATGTAGCTTACACCAAACAATAGAAAGGCCTTTGAGGGCAGAATGGCATCACTCAATGACACAGCATCTGTCCACAACAGACCCTGTTCTACAGCATTCTTCCACTTTGGAAGAGAAGAAAAAAACCTCAACACCGTATCATCTCCTTCTTGATCAAAAAATCATTTGTTCTCCGTATCACCAAAGTGACATGTCAGACAAGCACTGGACAGGGAGGGCCCAATAATTCTGGAGAACCACTTCCCCAGACCAGAGTCAGCTGTGAAAAGCACCAACATAATCATAAAATTGTCTCCATAGCCTGTGCCAGCTACTAAAATATTTTTGCCACAATTTAAATAGAGCTTCACCACAGAATCTTGGCAGGTGACCACATACCTGCTTGTACGAGCTGATCGAACAGGTCCACAGAATCTTTCACCCTTCTGAGGTGGATACGCTCTTTTAGAGCTTCCTCACTCACTCCTTCAATCTGAGGTGTAAGCATCTCAGGCATCAAGCACTAAAAGCAAAGAGTGCAAGCTAGACATGAGCTCAAACCTTCTCTAAACCACTGCTAAAACACTAACCAAATATGCTCGCTCTTCACCCTAGAAGTGAATACTGCTTTGGTGATCTCCCGACCCTCCCAGCCTAACAGCAGCAGTACTTTAGGTGATGAAGGACCACACATCCTGATCTCCCACTTTCATGCTAGGAAGTCAATATCTAAACAAACATTTCTCTTCTTACTTTTAGATAAAGAACCCGATATGATACGGAATTCCTAAGGAAAAACGTTCACTTCAGAAACATCATGGAAATACAGTACTGCTTTCATAGCTGTCTGCCAAACAGTTAACAGAACTATCCTTTTATGCTAGTTTTGGACCAGTCTGACACTTGATTTCACTATCTGATAAAGCACAAATATAATGAAAATGAAAAGCAAAAAGCTTACCGGTATGTTGGGTTCTGCAAAAGTCTTGTCAAAATATTGAGGAAATTGCTTAATAATGTATTTTGCAGCATTTTTCCCAGCCTCCTTCGACAATGAATACAGACGCTGCATAGGAACGAGAGAGAACAAGATGAAGAAACATTCAAGACTAAGAAGGGGGGAAGAAGGGAAGCTATTTGAAGGATTTGAAAGGAAATACTTACAGCATTAGCTGCATTTCTTGGTGTAAGGAAAGGGTCATCCTGGAACATATAATGAGCAGCAGTAGGGTCCTGTAGAAAGGAGAACCCAGGATTGAAACATTCATAGTTATGTACACAGGCACGCTGTATCCATATGACACTGCCCCACAGAATTTAAGGCACAATGAACAGTTCCACCATAACCCCACCTGATGCCCAATTTACATAAGCTCCTCTTGTTCAAAAGGTTTAGCCTGTTTGGAAATAGTTAAAAAAAGCATTTCCATTATACACATACATGCAGGCTAACATAGTGACAACAGAAGGGTTCTTACCATAACATAACAAGCAATGAGTGGCCTGCAAAGCAAGCAGGACCCAAACTATAACGTTCTCAGAGGAGCTGAGGGAACTTGCGGGATCACATTCAACTTCCAAGACAGACAGGATAAAAGAACAGCACCACAGCATTTAGAGTTGTTGCCCGAAAGAGTAGACACCGACTGGTCTTTGCAAGGCTCACTTGCTGGACTGAGACTGGGCACAGGCAGTCTGGATTGGGAAACTGAACCGGCAAAGTAACTTGCTCCTGATGTTAGCAAAAGCCTTATCAAGATATTACAGCTTTCACTGGGAGCTGCAGCGTTCTCTTAGCATTAGAACGAGGCTTTCAGGACACAGCAAAGTGTGTTAAGCAAAAGTGAAGACTCTGTGAGAACAGATTGAAAAGTCCTATCTTTCATTTACAGCCAAAGTAGAAGTAGAGCTTCCAGAGTGCAAGGTTATTGTGTGAGATGGACAACTCGACCTACTCCCATAATCAATAGAACCACTTACCCTCTTCACGGTAGACGCCAATGTTTGAAGAACAGCTAGCTTACCCCTAAACATAAAGGAGCTTTGATTAATACTGGGTTGCAGATTTTGAATGTTATGCATTACATTGTATGCAGAACAAGCACAGGATTATCCTGGCCTGTAAGGATTTTCAGTTCTAGGAAAAAAATGTTTTCGCTGCACTTAGAAAATACCATTTTTTGCAAAGGGAGGGAAAATTCAACTGCAAAAATGGTGTCAGTTTTAGAACAACCACAGGAAAAAGAAAACACATTGAAGAAAAACAGAAAAGCATCTGTGTTTCCTGCTACCACTCCTGACCTTGTTATACATTATCAAAGGCAGAACATAGGGAAGGGACACAGAAAGAATTCCCCGGAATGCTCCTCTCAGAGCCCCCCATCTCTGTGGAATGGATACACGAGTCCCTCTCCAAGACAAGTCTTGGGAGGAAAAAAAAAACACAAACCAAGATAAAACTAGATTTCTCAGGACTCCAGTGCCTGTGGGTGCTTTAGACTTTGGTTGTGTTTCAAGCAAACAAGAAAAGGCCACTGAAAGTGTTTAGGTGAAGGTAGTCTTATTTTAGGTTTACATGTGACACCATTTGCCTATAAACTTGGTTTTTGCTGTACAGTCATGCAATTTCCCCTTAAGTGCTTCCAACAAAATAACTTCTATTCAGCTGCATAACTTTGAATAGGATTATTCAGCCACCTATCAATGGCCAAGTTTATTTTGCTGAAAGAAACACCCCCGCATGCAGACAGACGAATTTGATTTTACAGATCTCTAGTGAATGTGATCTTTTACAAAGAGTCAGAACTATGTTTAAAAATGCAGATCTTATAACTGTTTTTAAAAGAAAGGTCAACAACAGAGTGTACATAGTCTGCACAGCGAGTAAGAGTCAAGAATATTCCCAGAGCTGCCAGTCAGCAGGAAAATCACTAGCAGAACATTAAATCCAGTAATACAGCAACCTGAATTTTCATTTTCAGCTTTGGCAGACAGACTACATTTAGCTGTCTAACAATTATTTTCTTCCAGGTCAAGAAATATTCCAGCAGTAAACACTTACCAGGTTTTCTTTCGTGGGAGCACAATTTCTTCTTGAGTAACTACGAGAAACAATATTAAAATTGTTATTAGAAACACGCATATGACCTCATGAAAAGTAATGATTTAAGCTTATCCAGCTGAAAGTACTAAAGCAAAGATTTTAAAACCACAGTCTGATGTAGGTCACAGTTTACTGGAAAGGTAATAGAAAAGGCTGACAGGGAGCTTAACAGTCTTGTGTCAAGACAGGGTCAGGGCGTTATGGTTAACAAACCACAGAGAGACAGTATCCACTGACCCTCAAAGTGATTACCCACACAAGCTTCACTCATCCTTATCCTGTATCTTCTCTCTTTAGCCAGTCTTTACCCGTCCCTTGGTTTCCCACTCTCTGTCCCCCAGTTTGAAGCTTGCCACCTCTGCCCATCTGGCTTCTCCCGTTCAGCTTGCCTGAATACTGCAGCAAAGTGCCCTCTCAGGCTCCTGCTCTGACAGCCTGACACCAACCGTTCAGCTCCTTCCACCCCACAGACCAATCCACCCAGCTTTCCCGGAAAGAAAAGGGAGAGAAAGGACAATACCAAAATGGAGAAGCTACAGGTTGTCAGTAAAGCACCTCAGCAAGTTCCTTCACAGAGGAGCATGTGGGATCTCCAATTTAAAATCCCCAGAGCCAGGGTCTGCAGAGGCATTTTTCCCACCACCTGTGTCGATGCTTCCATGAGCTGTTACTGACTGGCAGGAACTTGCTCCCATGTGCAACACGGCTCCAACCAACCCAGCTTACTTTTCTCACAAAATTTGTAGCAGAAATACAGTAAGGAGTACAGAGAATAAGCAAGAACATGAAGGAAACTGTCAGGATTAAGGTGGAAAACTCCTTATTTTTATTTTATAGCTTATTCAGTTTTAAGGAGCAACTGGATGGGTCCTGGAACTGTACAACTGAGTTCATGCTCTGGAAGCAGAGAGCTGGTTGGCCGTGAGGGGAGTCAAGTTAAGCCAGGAAATCACTGCACAGTGAAGACTGGGGCAGCGGGGTGGTGGTGGGAATGAAAGAAAGGGAAGGAGGGCATTCAGTGTCTCATTTATTTCATGCCAGGCTATGTTGTGTGGAGGTAAGAAAAAAAACCACAAACATTTGCAATCAACTAGTAATTAAGACATCATACCTTCTGAATTTTCCACAGTCTTCCCAAGAGCCGTACTACTAGAAGAGCACCTGTAAACCACAGTTTTGAATTTATGGTAGTCACATTAATACAGCAAAAGCAGATTAATGAAATCCTGTATTACAGGTCAGAATTCATTAAAACATTAAAGGGCAGAAGTAACTGGAAATGTTGCACTGTTACTAACTTCAAGTTACCATCATAAAACTCATATTTGATGCTTCTCTTAAAAGCCCTAATTTCAAGAGAGTTATACACAGAAAACCATATTACATAAAATTTGTAACTCTTTTTATTTTTTGGCATATCATGGCTCAGAAGTAGTTTTCACGAATTACTACATCTTAGAAAGGAAATCCTGAACATAAACCAGAAAAGACACTTTGTGTTTTAGAGGCAGGATCTAACTGAAAGCAGTACCTTTTTAAAAAATATTTTACACCTGAGTAGTGTTTACACAAGCAGAAGACCCTGAGCTGGGAGGCAGGGAAATCAGACCTGTTGAGTTCCAGCTGCCCAGTCTACAGAGCTGCAGACAGCACACTCTGTAACCACAGCTGCGGCACATCCAGATAAACTTGCTTCTGCTGTGTCCTGCAAAGCTGCTGCTCTGTGCTCAGCTCAGAGTCACAGATGCAACTCTTACTTACATTTTACTGCTTTTAAATGAAAGCTTACATAAAAACACTTTTTTTTTTCCCTTCACGAAATGATCTAACACTAAAGCCTTACTGCAACGGGCATTTGCATGTGCTTCCACACTGACCTTGACTGTGAGGGGGAGGCTGTTAATGTGCTTTTGTACCTCTGTGCTTTACAGAAACACTGCATAATTCTAACTGTTCATATGTCACACAAACGTATTAGTTAAGATTTCGCCATCTCAGATGGGAGTTATATTTTGCCTATAAATACTCAGAGAAGGAACCTTTCATTTGAAGCGTACCCTGAAAGCAACCTCCCACTCCATCTGCTTTTTCGTGTAATCGTTTAACAGCTCAAGCCCACTGCCGGGGCGGCGCAGAGACCACCAAAAATAGAGAACAGCCCCAGAAAAGGCGCTATCCTAGCCCAGGCCCAGGCCCCGCCATGCCATCCTCCATGCCGCCCCGACCCCTGCCACCACGCACGCGCAGGGTGCCCCGTTGCCCAGCAACCCCTCACGGCGCCTGCGCGGCCTTTCGCGCCTCAATCCCCCCCCCTCCACGCGCCACCCCGTTGATTCCCCTACAGTGCCGCCGCCACCGGGATCCTTCTCTTCCCTCCGCTGAGGGAACGGCAGAGCCTTACCGATATCGCTCTCGCCTCCCGCCCGGTAAGCAGCACCGCCTGCTCAGCGCTACCGCTTGCTGCCAGGAGCTGCCCCCCAGCCGCCGCGCCGCCATGCCGGCGCTCGCGCAGTGCTCCCCGGGAAGGAGGGCGGTACCACTCCTCTGGCGGCGGGGGGTGGGAGGAAGCTGCCCCTCCGCCGCGGTGGTACCGCCCGGCCCCGCCTGCCCCGCGCTGCCGGGACCGCGTGGTGCCTCCCGTGGCGCAGCAGCTTCGGGGCAGCAGAGAGAAGGGGGGGAAGCGCCGGCAGGCGGAGAGTGACTCACTCGCCATGAAGCCACCGAAAGTGGTGCCATGGCGGCGCCTGGCTGGGGTCTCCTTCGGGATGTACACGGCCGAGGAGATCAGGTGAGGATCCACGACAAGCGGTGGGGTGTCCCCTTCGCCCGCCCCGTGGGTGCTATACAGCACTACAACTCCCGGCGTGCCCCGCGCCACAACGCGGGCAGACCTCGGCGGGCTGTAGGCGCGGGGCATTCTGGGACATGTAGTCCAGCTGTCCCTCAAGCAACTGGCATGGCGGCAACTGGGTACCCCCAGTTGTCGAGCGTTGGGGGTGCGGCTGGACTCTCTGTGGGGCTCTCAGACCCACTGCATGGACTGGGGCCTTTGGAGGAATGGGGAAGGGCTGTGGGGCCGGGAGAGATTGTCTCTGTGGGGCTGAGGGAGGCGGGGGGGGGGGCACGGCCCTTTCAGCATACACTCACTTTGGGAGGGTGAAGGCTGTGCCTCTCTTGAGGGGCCTCCTCTGAGGGGAGCGATGGCTTCCCCCCACTCCTGCACCTCAGCGCCAGCAGGGCCTGCCCGAGCCTGGAGAAGCCCTGTGCTGGCAAGGCTGGACCTGTTCCATGGTGGGCACACTGTGGGAAACCTGGCCTGGGATCTCATCCCAAGTGTCCAACACAGAAGAGACCTTGCTAGTGTCAGTAAAGGGAAAATACTCAGATATTTTAGCACCAGCGTAAGTATCACAGAGCAGGGATCTTTGTTGCAGAGGGCTTTTTTTTGCGGCTTTTTCCAGCAGGTCATCTCTTCTGAAGTTCTAGAGAGCTGCCACTGTTTATTTAGTGTTAGTGTGATATTAGCGCCGTGTATAGTCAAGGATGTTGCAGCTGTCATTGTCTAGGTGGTTTTGTTGTTTTTATACCTCTCCCACTGCTTGAGAGGACACACTAGCAAAGTTACTTGACTTCTTAATAAAGGAAATATTTGCTGTGGTATAAATAATTGTACTCAGACAATTAAATCAATGGTACAGAAATTCCCATTGCGTGTGCAAAGTGCCCTTATAAAGGTTTTCATCAATAAAATATCATATAGCTACTAAATGTCAATGCTAGTTGTACCCGACAAGTGCATATCATGTGGCTGTTTACTGCCATTGATTTTTTTTTTACTCTTTCCTTTCAACTTCAGGAAACTGAGTGTAAAAGCCATAACAAATCCTCAGTATTTGGATAATGTGGGGAATCCAGCCAGTAATGGACTGTACGACTTGGCTTTGGGACCTCCAGACTCCAAAGAAGTGTGTGCCACTTGCATGCAGAACTTCAGCAACTGCCCTGGTCATTTTGGCCATATAGAACTGCCTCTGACTGTCTACAACCCTCTGTTTTTTGATGTATGTATTCTTATTTATTGTCTTGCTGGTGAAATGCGTGGTGGCACTCAAGCTGTCATACACTTTGTAGTCCTTGAAAATAGTAAAGGTGCTCACTGCCTTCTATGTGTAATAACAGCAAATATAGTAGAAAAAGTTTGTTGTGTCATGATAGTTCAATAAAAATAGACTTCTTGGACTTTGCAAAATGTACACTTGCAGCTATTATTTTACTCAGTATTGACAAACAAGAGAGGGGGAATGTTTATCGCTAAACTATATGACTGACTGTAGGCTGTCATGCCTTAATTAAATGGAGGGCACGGTAAAAATTGTTAGTTGTTTCTTTTAAATGACTACTACAAATTCACATGAATAGCTACCTAAGATCTCCAGGTGCTTTCTGGACATTCAGAGCTTGTTTTTTGCTCCGAATAGCTGTGTTGTACATTCTGCCTGGTAGGTCCTCTTATTCCAGAACAAATTCTAGAAAACTGGATCAGCGTGGATAGAACCCAACAACAACCTATCCAGTAATACGCTGAGATAAAGTGTGTGCCAAGTAAATGAAACAACATAGCATTGCAAGTTTGGTGACAGTACAGTTGGAAAATTCTAAGGCAAAAAGAAATCCATCAGTCTTTTTAACTAAAAAAAAAAAAAGGCTGTTAAGAAAATTTCTTCCATTGGGAAGTCAGACACGTGTGCTTCTTATAGCCTTACAAATGTTGCATTTATGTGATATGTGGGATACCTGACGTAGGGCAGCGATTTGACTTGGTGTGCATCTTTCAGGAGAGGTGGTGCTATAAGCTTGTTTTGAAAGCTACTGATGATGGTCAGACTGCACGTTTTTCCTAAGTGCTTCATGTGGGTGTTTTTTATAAAGGGTCAGCTTTTACATATAAAAGGATTCCTGGCTGTAAGGGTAGGATTTGCCTTATTTTGGTCTTATGAAAGTTAGACGCATAATCTGATTGCACATTTTAGCTCTTTCTAGAGTCTGAAGAGTGAGGCCATTTGCAGAGGAAGATTCATCTAGCCTATAACAAGAACCTGAGTTGGGATGAATTCCCTCCTCATGTGCCTGTATCCCCATTTACAGTAGCTGGCTCCTGCACAGGCTACTAATTGAGACTAAAAACCTCACTTTCAGATGACTGCAGTTAGGTGAGGTCCATCCCGCTTCTAGCTGACCCAACTTGGAAGTCAAATGCCTCTATTTGACCAAGGAATAAAACCACAAAACCCAATAAAACACTGACGTTTTTCTGAAGCTGGAGGAGGATGTGGTTACATTAAGAGTGTTGAGGGACTGTGGTAGTACCTGTGACCAGAACATTTTGGTGTGGAGTTCTGGGTACCACATTGTCCTTTATGGGACAAGCTGTTGGAAGCTGTAATCACAGTGCGATGTAAGAGCAGCCTTAGTCCCAGAGTTGCTATAGGTATGACAGGCTTTTCCTCTTGATCCTGTTATCTGTTATATAAGTGGTCTGCAGATGGTTTGTCTACAGGATGTGCTTTGCATATGAGTTTGTGTGGTTGGAAGAAATTTTTTTTTTTTTAAACCCAATTCTTTATGATTAAATATAACAATTAATCTAATTTCTCAGTTACAGTAGCACTTTAAGTTCAAACAAATTCTACTTGCTTACTCTTCAAGCTACCAGGATAACTTTTCCCCCTTTTCTTTCTAGAAATTATACCTTCTAATTCGGGGTTCGTGTTTAAATTGTCACATGCTGACGTGTGCTCGAGCTGTGGTTCACTTACTGCTAAGTCAGCTGAAGGTTCTGGAAAAGGGGTTGCTTCATGCCGTCCATGATCTTGAAGTCATTCTGAACAGGGCAAGTACTGTATATTTTTCTGTTTTATTTATTTTTTTTTGAGTTGATAGTCCTGTAACTATAGAGTTATCCCAATTTCTTTTATTCTGTTTTAGTTTTTAGAGCAATGTGCAGATGCAACAGGTTCAGAAATTGAAGAAGAATTAAATCACCATGTTCAGGAAATATTACAGAGTTATCAAATAGGAGATCAGTGTTCAAATGTAAGTACACAATCAGTGCTTTTCCTGAGATCTTAGGTTTTGTCCTCTTGAAATAGTCATGCACTGAAGAAAGTCTGTCTTTGCCTGTGTAGACTCTAGATTTTGTCCTGGAGTTCTGAACTGTATTATATTTAGAGTTGAAATGGGTGGAATTAAGCTTAAAAAGATTTTATTTCCTGTTAGTATAGCTATTAGGTTTCTGGAAAATACACTTTGTGTAGGGAAATGTTTTGGTGGTGTAAATATCACATAAAAATAACCTGATGCTGTTGTCAGTACATTGCCTACAGATACTGTTTCTTCTCTGTATTATGCTTCAGCTTTTTTGAGCTGCAGAACGTTTTTTGGGAAGTCATGTATTCAGCAAATTTGCAGAATTAATTACAGTGAAAATTTTAGAAAGAGTTATGTAGTCAAATTCTTGTTTCCATTTAAATGCAGTTTAATTGTTAGTTAAAGAAAAATCTTAGTCAAGAAGATACTTAAAGGTCTAACATCTTAGAGCAGGCTTGTTTCTAAGCCAAGTTTAATTTCTTAATCACTTGTTTCAAAACTAACCTTGAGCACTTCGGAAATCATATATTCACGAGCAGTCAAAAGAAGTGATTTTTATCAGTCTTCTGCCTTCTTAAATCATCATTAGAGAAAAGCTTTAGAAATTAGTACTGACTTGAAAAATAAAGACTATTTATGAAATAAATTTAAAAAGCAGGGTGGTGAGCATTGAGGGGTGTTTCCAGCAAATATGGGAAGGTGGTGGAAGAACACTAGAGATCAAAGCACGAATTAAATCAATACTAAGATGTGTGTGCATTGATACTAAGTAAAGTTCGTGTTGATAGTTAATTATGTAGTGTTTAATAAATTCTTCGTATCAAATGATGTAATTTCTTATTTCATTATTTTTAAATCCTTTTTTTTTTTTCCTTTCTTTTATCAGGTAAAAAATGTATGCGAGTGTAGAAATAAACTGATAGCACAGTTCTGGAAAGCACATATGAGTTCAAAGAAATGTCCAAACTGCAAGTAAGTTAAAAATACATGGAGAAATAAATAGCTGATGTAACGTTACATGTTGTGAGCATTTGTATTAACTTTTATCTGCCTTTCCTGGTTTTTCTTGTTTTCCATTTAAGATCCAGGAGGTCACTAGTGCGAAAAGAGCATAACAGCAAGCTGACAGTAACCTACCCTTCTACAGTGTACCATAAGTCGGGAGAGGAAGGCATTGTGGATGAGCCAGCAGGTGAAGTATTTGTCCTCTACTCAGATATGTTTGCTCCTGTTTTCCTGTATTTAAGGGGCACAGATTCCTAGCAGTGACTATGCATTTATAAATATTTTTTTTTAAAATGTAAATAAACCAGTAAGCTCAGCAGTAGGGGAGTACCCAACTCCGTTAAATTCTATTTGCAAGCCTTCTGTGCTTTTGCAACTTTGAG